ACCGATAGTTTGTTACCACCTACTTGGTGTTCTCACGAATTAAAGGTTTTTTCATGCGATAGGCTAGGATTAACTCCCACCAAATGAGGTGGTGTAGGATTCTTAATGTAATAACGATAAACTTATGTTTAATAAATGTCTCGCATTTAATACTTGTTTGCAGCAAAAAAAAAAATATATATTATTGATATTATTTAGTATAGAAAAATATATGTTTATATAATTATTAATATTTTTTAAAAAATATATTATTGATCAAAAAAAAAAAAACTTTTTTCCACAACTCTCCAATTCATAAAAAATTTTCTTTTTGATAATGACATGAATGGTAGACAGTAAACAGCGAGCAAGAATTTCTTCCAGGGAAAAAAGTTTATCTTAGCTTTCTGCAAGATGCAAGAGGTCGATTAATTCTTCATAGAGGGGTGGATGCTTTAGGAATAGCAAAAATCTTTTCGATTAAACTTTTTGCTTTACTGAGTGAAACCTATATAAACAACCTCCAATAAAGAAAAACCTTTTTACCGTATTAATATACATTACTATCTATCACATCACAAAAAACATATATAAAATCAAATATAATTTTCTCTCAAAAGGTAGCATTTTATTTTTTCAGAGTTTTTGTTTTATGCTAATGACAACTAGTGCTAGATTTATTACAATCTTCTGGCTAGTTATCGGTCCTCGCCAAATTTTTTCATATAAAAACCGAATCCAACTTACCCTTACCAAAAGATTGACATCCACAATACACCAATAATATTTCGTATTACAATATTAACAACAAAAACACCAAAACAACTATACATATCATCAAAACCACCTCAAATTACAAATATAGCCAGATTGGAAAAGTGTATAATCAGTGCCCTGCATAGGTTCCAGATATATAACTTATCAACTTTTTATATCAATATTTCAATCTATCCAATTATATTCACTATCTTTACTTTCTTTATACCACTGTCAACAATGGAATAGTGTACTAGAAAAAATAGCCAAACTGATTGTTGAAACAAACTTTATATTTTTTCATATTTACTTTTCTCTATAATTTTATTTTTATTTCTTTACTTCTTTCACAAATCTGAAGCTCTTGGTTTTTTTTTTATTTTTTAAGTAGATAGTTCCTTTCTTTTTTTTCCTTGTAATAAGTTTTTTTTAGGAATATATCTACTTTATAGGTAGTAGGCTAGTATGCATAATAATATATCTCTAGATTTAGAAATTAATTATGTATCAATAAAACTCATACTCAATTAATAAAATCATGAGAAAAGTCTTACTTTAACAATTTAAAAAAAAAAATAAATTGTTTTTGATTTTTCAAGTTTTTAAAAAATTTAATTATATAATAGTTATTATTGTAACAATGTAATGACGAGTCAGTTGCTAACTCTAGCAAAGATTCGCATAACCGTTACTGGAGTAATAAATAAATGAGTGATTTTAGACGTGTTTGTATTTGACCGAGTCTTTATTAATTTTCTCACTTGTTTACTACTTCACTATCCTTTGTCTCTTTACAATTTATATTCTTTTTATACTTCTCTTTCTTTATAATTGACTATGGCGGCTTGGGTACAGAATAATAAACTATAGTACAATAACAGGGCTTAGGCTATCTTACATAATTTTTCTTGTCAATTTCCTTTGTCACTTGTTGTTACCTAATTATTACAGCCAACTTACCATTGTTATGACTATTGATCTTGTGACTACAATCACGTCCCATTTCTCCCTGTTACATTTCCCCACACTTATTCTATGTATACCATATATTCTTTACAGGATTATTATATTTTCATTTTTATTCCTTCATTTTCATCATTTTTTTTTTATTATTCCCTTTTGTAGTACGTCTTTAGATTCTGGATATTCATCGGGGATGCAAGTATCTTGCCATCCATCGTGTATAACTAATAGGTATGGTCAGATAGTCAGTCATATATGTAAAATGGTCCTTGTCACTTGGGATCAAACTTATTGCTTCGTGAATATTGTAGGGTGGCTCTGTACATAAGAACTTTATCTCCTATATTAAATTCAGGAAACTTCGGGTATCGCTTATTGTGGTAAGTTTTCTGTCGAATTTGAACTTGCTGTATATGGTGGATTGCATTTTGCCGGGCTCTTGGGAGTTGTTCAATTAGGTCAAAAGTTCTTTATAGGATAGTTCTGTCTAGTATATCCATGGTAGAACTCGGGTGTATGGGTTGTCGCGTGTTCCTTTCGTACATCAAAAAGAAAAAGGACATCTTTGTCATGAAGTTCTTTGCTGTTCTATATGCAAAGAGGATTGAAGGCAGTAATAGATCCCAATCAATATTATGTTCAGACAACTTAGCTATAGCTTCGCACAGCATTTTATTGAAATGTTCGGTTAACTCATTTGTCTGAGGATGGTAAGGCATAGTCAAACGGCGCTTTGTTCCAAATTTAGCCACTAATTCTTGGATTGTGTAGTTTTGAAAATACGTTTCTCGATCCGAGACGATGTACTGTGGACAACCATGCCTGCATACAATCTCGTCATACAGTAAGTCGGCAATGGTAGTGGCATTAGCCCTCCTTACTGCCTTCGCTTCTGGCCACTTTGTCATATAATCAATGGTGACCAGAATATAATGGTTGAGTCTAGGAGTACATGGGAGGGGCCCAACGAAATCTATTCTGACCCAATGAAAAGGGGCAGTTACTGATATAGGGCGCAGTGGTCCGAGTGTACTTCTTGTTTCTCTCTTCTGGCATGAGTCACAGCTGTTGATGTATTTCCTAATATTTTTGTACATCTGTGGTCAGAAGTAAATGCTACGAATTTTTTCAAACATAACTTCCTTACCGAAATGGGTACCTGTTGATATTGGTGCGTTAAAAAGAGAATCAGCCCAACCCCGTATTTTTGTATCATGTGTAACCATTGGTTCTTTCTTCATCGGTCTTTTTTTATATAAGATTCCGTCGCTATACTTATAGAATTCACTCTTTTTCTATAGCTTGTGCTTCTTCATCGCATTTATGGTTGAGGGTAATCTTTGATTCTGCAGGTAGGCTCTTAACTGGTTGTAATGCGTTGGATCCATTATTTCTAGTTATTTAGACAAAAACAAAACTAGTTAATACACCAGGATACCTGAACCTGGGCTGGATTCTGTTCCTCGCATTTAGGTATATAAAAGATTTTTTTTTTTTTCAGTGGGAGGAGTTTTGACTGCTTAGAGGCAGAATAACGCATCAATATTATTATGTCTTTGTCTGCTTCTATGTTAAATAGTGAAATTATATAGTTGGAGGCAGAGTATCCATCTAGCTCTTCTCCCGGTAAGTTTTAACGTCTTTAATTACTGAAGTACCATGTGGTCGGTTATTATGATGAAAGGATTTAATCCATAATAGTAGTAGAAATGCTTTACTGCCCAGATGACAGCCAAGCACTCCAATTCTATCACAAAATAATTTCTCTCATGTTTTGTCAATCGTCGGCTCACATAAGAGATAACAAATTCTTTCTCGTCGTTATCTTTCTGCTTCTAAGCCATATCTGGAGGCATTCGTGTGCATGTGAAAGGTCTTTGTAAAGTCAGGATATCGTAAAATTGGGGTGGTAACGAGGTACATTTTTAAAGACTCAAATGTCTGATTCTGCTCTTCTTCCCATTGAAATTTAACACTCTTTTTTAATAAATGATGTAGGGGTCAGACTATTGTCACGAACCCTTTAATAAATTGCTGGTAGTATGAAGACAATTCTATAAACCAGCATAGTTGCCTTATGTTTCTAGGGATTGGAAAGTTCTTGACTTTTTTGATCTTGGTGTCATCAGGCTTGATCTTATCCCTCTCGACGATGTGACCTAAAAATTGAAGGTTAGAATGGAAAACTACACATTTCTCGTGGTTAAGTTTTAATCCTGCTAATTTTAATTTTCGCAGGACTTCATCTACATGGTTTATATGCTTCTTGAACATCACTGAGAAAATGATGATGTCATCGAGATAGACAATGACTGTTTTTTCTAAGTATTTAGCTAACACCTTATCCAGCAAGTGTTGGAATATTGCCGGGGCATTGCATAGCCCAAACGACATAACGTTGAACTCATATATTCCAAATGCCATAACAAATGCCATTTTCTCCTTGTTCTTTTCTCCTATGGCAACTTGCCAGTAGCCATTCATTAAATCTAAGGTGGTGAACCATTTTGCCCTTATGAAAGTTTCTAACAAGTCATCGATCCAGGATAGAAGGTAAATATCTTTCTTGATTACTGTGTTCAGCTTGCGGTAATCAACACACAACTTTAATTTTCCGGCCTTCTTTGGCATAACCACTATGGAGGAGGCTCATGGACTTTGTGATTCCCTGATCAGGCCTCTCTCCAACAATTGGGAGATTTCATTTTGAATGAATTCCCTTACACTTGAGGCTGCCCGGTATGCTGCTTGTTTGATTGGGGCCACATCTCCGGTGTTAACCGTATGACAGACCCTATCCATACATCCTAGTTCGCTGACGGTTAGTGCGAAGGCATCTTTTTCTTTTTCTAGCAACCTTTTTGCTTAATCTTGTTTTTCGGAACCTAACTTCTCACTTACTTCGATCTGTTCAATTCCTTCCATCGTCACGATTTCTTTGTATTCAGTGATTATTGTAGGTAGTTTTTCAATCTGAGATAGGTAGGCAGCGGGGCTCGATAGTTCTTCAGGAAATGTTACTTCTTCCCTACCTGTATCTTTTGTATAGTACTCTTCCATATCTTTTACGTCTTCATCTAGTATTTCGTCCAACTCTTCTTTAAGATCTGCGGGTTCATCATCATTCGGATATTCTTCGGGTTGTTAAAGATGGCACTTCCATCCTGTTGCCTTGATAATGTAATATCATTTTCCTCTTGTCGAAATGAATGCGGGCCTGCATTTCTTCAAACCAATTGTTCCCTAACAGCATGATTTCATTCTTGGAATCGATTGCTTGGAACGTGCATGGGATGTCAGTTCCTTGAATAGTGATCCTTACATTGTTGATAGTGCCTAGCGTTCTTGTTCGACCTGTGATCATGACGATGGCAGATGTAGATTTTCCATTTATCTTCAGGTTCAGTTTATCTATCAGTTTCTTCATGATGAAGCTAACAGCTGCACTAGTATCAATTACTGCTACAACCCTTTGATTACGGATTCTGACGTAACACTTCGTGGCGGTTGTCTTCTTCCTGTTATTGATATCAACGTACATTGTGTCTTCTAATATTGTTGACCTGCGCAGGGCCTTTGCGAGGTTCTTCTTTTGCTCGGTGTATTGTAACATTTGTCCAATCGTGACATTCGCAGGTGTGGTTAACAGATCAGTAACAATATTATATTATAGCTCTGATTCAATCCTTAACGGACTCTTCTTCCTTCGAGGAGCCCTTTGAGACATATCCTTCGGTTCTTCTTTCACTAGTTTCTCTTTCATGCGCTGGATCGGGTTCCCTCTGCTGGTCTCTTCTTGGGGAGGTAATTCCTGGATCATCATTGATCTTGTTTTAACATTTCCACTATTTCTCAAATATCCATTCCATTCCGATTGGGCCCTTACATCATTTTGGTTTCTGATATATAGTTGTTATCTTTCGGTGTTGTTATATACTTCATTCTCATCCTCCATTATTTCCACATATTGGGCTTCCATTTCGGATCTGGTTAATTGTGTGGGTTCGTTCCTTCATGGATTGGATCTTTCTATTGTACAGTTTCTTGCATAGTGGCCCTTTTCCCTACACTTGTAGCACATAATATCCTGTAGGTCCAGCTTAGTTCTCATCCTGTGTCCGGGTTGGATCGTTGTTGTTATGACGAGTTTGGCATAGTGGGCTACTAGTTCTTGCACTTGCTGGGTTAATACTGAAATGCTGACTTCTAGGGAGGCATTTTTCGTATCTTGAGTGGTCAGCTTGCTATAGTACTCCCCAGCTTCGACCTTCCTTGCTCCTGTGACTACTTTCTCCAAAGTTCCTGGATATATTATGGATAACAGGGATGCTACCTTATCTCTCAATCCTCCAGTAAACATTCGTACCATTAGGTTTGCGGTAGTGCATTATCAGGATCTACCTTCTTTAACAGTCTTCTGAATTTATAGGCATATGTTCCGACTCATTTTCCATTCTTCTGATGGAGCATGTTTAGTTCTACCTGCCATTGATGCTTTCATTCGGCAGTAACAAAATACTGAAGAAAAGAGGACACAAAATTTGCATCTGGATCTCAATTTTCATCCCAATGAGTAATTACGTTTTTCCTGTTATGGTACCAGTCTGCGGCTACACTCACTAGATACCCCGATGCGATACTGATCCTCCATTGGTTGGCCCAGTTGTTGGCGTTCACAGCTCACTCAAATGCTTCGAGCTATTCGAAAGAGTCTTCATTATCTTCTCCATAAAAATTTCGGACTCTGATCAGGTTTCTTTCTTGGTCCCCCGGTTGCATGGAGCTACCAGCTCCTGTGTTACACATTGCATTTATGAGCTCCCTCAAAATCAAGTTAACCTGGTTCTGACCAATCTGGTTATTATTATTTCCTAGGGATTCATTACCGTTCTCGTTGCCTTGTTTGCTAAACATTTTCAACAAAACAAAAAGAAATAAGCAAATGTGTAATTATTTTCGAAGGTGGACTAGAAATTTTCTGGTGTGATCCTAAAATTTATATTATATATGTATTGTTTAAAAGCTGGATCTAAAAAAATCATATCTAGTATTTTCGTCACCTTTAAAAATAATTATTCAAATATATATATATATATATTTTTTTTTTGTTTATCTTTTTCTTTCTCTTTTTTTTTTTCTATCAATTAGGTTTTCAATTAGCAATTTTTCTCTTATCATACCTTGAATGGTCTGATATGTATTTTTACTTCTTTCTTGCAGGCGATTTTCTCTCATCACGCCTTGGACGATTCTCTCAAAAAATATCAGGGTAACCGGATGTCATCCTTGTACGAATCTTACAGTCACTACCAAAAATGTAATGGTATAACGGCGAGTCAGTCACTAACTCTAGCAGAGATTCGTGTAATGTTACTGGAGTAATAAATGAATGTGTGATTTTAGACATGTTTGTATTTGACCGAATCTTTATTAATTTTCTCACTTGTTCACTACTTCACTATCCTTCGTCTCTTTACAATTTATATTTTTTTTATACTTCTCTTTCTTTACAATTGGCTATGGTGGCTTGGGTACAGAATAATAAGCTATAGTACAATGATGGGGCTTAGGCTATCTTACATAATTTCTCTTGTCAATTTCTTTCGTCACTCGTTACAGTATTACCTAATTATTACAGCTGGCTTACCATTGTTATGACTATTGATTACGTGACTATAGTCATGTCTCATTTCTTTCTGTTACATTATTTATCTTTTAAATTAGTAAAATCTATACTTTTTTTTCAATTATAATAAAAAGAAAATTTTGATATTTTTTTGATTTTGTATTAGTATTGTCATATATCATTTCTACTTTAGGAGAAAGATAAAGACGAAGAACTAGTAACAGGGAGGCATTTTAGATGGACAGGGCCAATATGGTGTGCTAAAGTTCCTAGAGATGTACAAATTAGTACAATTCTGAGATGTATAAGGTCAGGCAAAGAGGCAATGGTGATTTGTTTTTCAAAGGTCAAGTTATTTATTCGATAAAATATATGTTCAAGCCTACCAATTTCTAGGCGAAATTGGAGCCTTTATATACATGTTTGAGTTATAATATTTTCGTATAGGATAAATATATGCTATGGTAAAAATATAAATTAAGATATAAATACTATTTTCGTCAGAATATTCAACTATAGTAGCATTTATATAGATAAATACTTTGGTGAAGATAATATAGTAAGTAAAGATAAAATAAAATAGAAATATTCTAGAAATGGTAAAGATGCAATAGATACAAAAGATGCTGAAGATGCAGTAACAGATCTGTAATACAAGACTATTCTAGAATAACTACCATTTCAAGGGTCAATGCTAGTGAAAATTGGTCAAGGGGTAGTGAAGATCTTGGGCGAAAATCAAGTGTAACAGTATGCAAGATTATTTGATTTATTGAATATAATCTGACCATAAGATTTTTCTGATATTTATAGATATTTAATTCAATATATAATTAGTTAATAGTTTGTAAAATAGAATGTTGATTTTCTTTTTTAACTTATTAATAATTAATTATTTAATTTTTTTTTCAATAAGAAATCACAGTATTTTATTTGTTTATTTAATAATAAAAAAGAATTAATATATTTTTTGAATTCACAGTATTTTTATTATATATATTTTTATTTTCAAAAGGATATTAAAAAGTTTTATCTTTAGTAAAGTTTTTCTTTAAGTGTATCTATAAAGTATTTTGAAAAATTATCAAAAAGAAAATTTTTAATAATTTTGTAATTTGTAGAAAAAGTTTTTTTTTTATATATAATATTATTTATATAAGCTTATTTATTTGATATGAATTTGTACAAATATATTTAAAATAATAAATGAGAATTGATTTATTTTTTATTATAAAAAATTATTAATACAATAACAATAAATATAATATTTAAATAAATCTCTTATTGAATACAATTTATAATAAAAATAAATTTAAAATTAACAGTATTTTTTATCATTTTTATTTTATAAAAAAAGTATCAAATAACATTGTAAAAATAAAAATAATAATTAATAAAAAATATTTGGGCTTTAAAATTTTTATTCTTTTTATAAAGGAAATATTAATTCAAATTAATAAATATATTGAATTAAATAACAATTTACAAAACATTGTAAATAAATAAATATATAATAAAATTTAAATATTTGATAGTAATTTAAATACAGTTCAAATAAAATCATATAAGTTAAATATAGTTTAAACTAGCAATAAAACATTTGTTTGCTAAAAAAAATATGCTTAACATATAAATACACTTGGAAATAAGTTTTATAATTGAATAAGTCAATATGCAGATAGTAAAGGCTAACTCAATTAATATTTCATGCAATTACAATAATTTTTTTAATTATGCTTTTTAAAAATATTTAATATCAAAGAATATTTCGAGCGATTTATTATTTAGTAAACTATTGTATATTATTATTAATTATTAATTAGTCTATAAAAAAAACATCATAATATAGAAATATATCAATGGTTTTGTGCTCGTTATAGACTTTAGCATTATTAAATTTAAATTATTTTTTTAAAAAAATTATATTTCAAATTTTGGATTTTAAATAGAGAAATTTAAATAAAGAATAACAAAGTTAAATAAGAAAGGTCCCGAGTTAAAAAAGTTTTTTTGTAACATGTTTTTTAAATTTCCTTCCTTTTTAAGAATCAATTAAATTGATTCAATTTAGTTTAGATTCTCTTTTTTTTAATTGAATATTTACAATACTCTATTGTTAATAATTCTTAATAATCAAACTCCGAGATTAGACCTTATACTTTTTAAGATTTCCGTAATTGGGCAACGGCTTACGATTTCCGGATTTTCCATATGTAGGTAGTATTTCACTCAAATTGCAAACAATAGTACGCATTTGTGTAGCATATTTGTCTGAAAACAAATTATTCAGACCCCGATATAAATACAGTAAATGCCTTGTCCCTAGAATAGGGCTTATAGAATTGTACAAAATGAAGAAAACCATGAACGCATTCTTCGAATTCAGTCAATCGTATCGTCAAAATGAAAACCCAGAAAATCGAATTACTCTTGGAGAAATAGGCCTCAAGTGGAGGTCAATGAGTGCAAGGGACCGTGAACCCTACGTCAATAGTTCAATTCACAAGATGGAACAATTTAAGCTCGAAAATCCGAACTTTAAAGAAAAGCGTATTCGTTCAGTTAGGAGAAAGAATATTAAATTCATAAATAATTCTCCGGAAAAAATGCCAGATGAACAATTTTTCATAAAATGCAAGGCTTTCTATTAGAGTGCATTTGGTTTTCTTTCTCTGTTTCTTTTCTTTGTGGATTTTCATACTCGAATTTTTTCTTTTCTCTATTTTCCGTCTATTTTTTTATATTTTATTTTGTACAATTTCCATTAGTATCCTCTCAATGGTTATATTGTTCATCCTCTTTACTTCAAAAAATAGTTACGCTATTTATCATTATTTATGACAGTATGCATCGTTAAGCTTGCTTTCTATATTATATATTCGCGTAGATGGGTACATTTGTCGTGAATGGACAGTGAATTTTCGGACTTGCCTCAAAAATTTACATAGATATTACGGTACGTATAGAAAAAAAATAGTATATGCATATGTATCGTATAGAAATCTATGGAGTGTCCGGGAATAAAATAAGAACTTATGATAACTATAAATAATATTCTTCCTTTATCACTTAAAGACTTTTTAAATTGTTTTTTCAAACATCCGTGTCGTAAGATATTGGAAGAAAGAGTAATACAGTATAGGATTTTTATAAATTGAAACGAGGTATTACATACTGTACATTGTTGCTTCATTTACTCTCATATATCTTACCGCTAGCACTTTTTCAATTCTTTTGGCCTCGATTGAAATATTGATACCTAAATTAATTTATTTCTAACGCTTGTTTTTCTACCTGTAATCTTCTTTACGGATCTAGTTTAGTAAATACACACCCACATTGATGAGATGAAGTTGATAGAGATTGCGGGTTAAATTTAAATATCTGTAAAATATCATGGTATTTAGATTGATCAAGAACAATATTTCAAGTTATTAGCGTATCTGCTTGGATACCTGTTTGTAATAAAATTCACATGGCTATTATTTCCTTAAAAATATTCCGGCAATAAAGTTTGACCTGATTTTAATAAGGGCATACGCTTGCATTAACCCTCGAACCTATAAGAATAAGAATATTAAACTCGTGAATGTACTCATTTTCATTTTATAAGTAAAAAAACATACTGTGACGGTCGATCGGCGAGTCTGTCGCTAAAGTGGGGGCAGAATGTCGCGTAACCGTTAACGGGGTAAGGGATTTAATGAGTTTTTTAGGCGTGTTTAATTTGGCTGAGTAAAAAGTTAATTCACTGTCCTTTATTTACTTTTGCTTACATCTTTTATATATTTTAGTTGGGACGACGTTACATTCTAAAAACATGACAACAACGGTTATCTAATGTCTTTTCATGATTTTCCCCTATTACATAACAAAGGTTTATATTACTTAATCGTTTTTCACAATCCTCCCCTCATTACCTAACTCCCTAACACGCTTCCCTACTACTATTTTTTCACTTCTCATCACTTTTCGATCACATATTTTTTATTTCGCTACCTCAAGTACCACGATAGGAACGGATCCTTCGCGGCACTATCGCGGTTATTAGTCACGTGACTGGGGTCGCGTCATAATTTTACCCTCTGACAATACATTGTACAAAATAGCATATGCAATAAAGAAAACAGTAAAAAGTTAATGCAATTCGGTATGATCTTCTGAATATAAAGACAAAGAAGTAAACCTTGAATTTCTACTACGATGGTCGCATCAGCAGTTGTTCGAACTATACAAAACAATGTGCAAGCAATGCAATCTAAATCGCTTTGCATGATATAGTTAAGGTGATAAAAAATGTAAGCCCTGATCTTCACCTTATAAAAGTAACACAATCACTAGAATTAAAAATAGAATTTGTAAGGGTATCGTCATTGTAGAAAATAATTTTAAGGGATGAAAAGTATATCTATCAATGTAAATGGAAAAAGGTCATGTTATAAGGGTACTAAGAAATATGGGAGATTCATTAGGCAAAAGTATGATTATAACAATTGATCGATACTGTAATAAAAGCTACCATCAGAATAATATTCCCATTCAGACTGTTAATTAAAAATAATTCTGGTATTATCACAAGAATCTCGAAAAAAAATTTTTTTTTCTTCCGTCATCTCGATCAAAGTGGCCAACTCAAAGGATTATTTTTTCTGATATTCAGATTAATGTATGTGCTCATAAACCGATCGAGAACACTCAAAAATATGTAATCGTAGGTGCGAGCGTATGACCTAATCCGAAATATTATAATTCGGATTGTGGGAACTAATGGTGAAATTTAAGTTGCAATGTAAAGCGTTGTAAAAATTTTTCCATTCTCTCATCATAATTTCATCCGTCCAAGATGAACTCGTCAACTTTACCGAAACGTTTATTGCGATGTGTTCGAAAAAAAAAATCCTTTAAAAATAAATCCAGACGCAGAGTTTCACTCTTCTAATGAGTGAAGACGGATTCATTTTCGTGGCAAATTACCTTATTTGAAAGAGTCAAATATTTCTGTCAAAAGTTTAACCTTATTTTGATATTTATCATCTAGGAACTTCGATTGGCATATAATGTACTTTATTATCAACTAAAAAATTGAACTATCGCAAAAAAAAGAAAAAGAACGTATAAACATTTAACTTAACTCAAACTACTTCTCCATCTAGAAATCAAGGTTTGGAACAAAATGAATTTCCTTATTTTTATGTTTGCTTTTTTTAAAAGTCAATATGCAATATTTAATCTAAGTATTTCTTGCGCTGATTCCGTAGTAAACCGGAAATCTGATATAGCCGGCGACGTAATGTTTTACATTGAAATAAACAAAATAATGTGAGAAGGGAAGAGGAAGAACTATAAGAAGGTTAGTCTAAAACGAGAGAAAACGCAATATTGATATTTGATATTTGTGTTAGGTGATTCATGTGTACATATTTGTATCACCAATCGTACTTTTTTAGAAATAATAATTATTTTGTTTGTTGTGCAACCCAATTACAGTATTCCGTTTCTGAACTACCCAGATGAAGTATAGTTTACTTCTATCAAGTCATTTTTTATCCAGTATTTATGTCGAACTCATATACATAAAAATATTAACAGGTAAAAATTCTGCATACTCTGACGATTTAAGAGACCAAATTTTGATATTCGACACGCCAAAGTGTTGTCACTTTACTGTTTTGGATTTTTAGACCTTTCACTTATCATTGATCCATAAGTAAATTAGAAATTCAAAAAGGGAAAATGAATATATTGATGCTCTGTAAATCTCTTTTTGGATTAGATTGCGATTGATTTGAATGCGTAATTTATCGTTCCTGGCATTATGTGGTATATGCCTCGCCTGGTTAATTTGGATTAAAAGGTTTTGTAAAAGAACAAACCTTTGAATTCCGAGTACCATTTTCCAAAATATAAATACCTCAGTCGTATGCTTTGCTGCTATCCTGACTGAGTACGTATTGTACAAAATAAAAAAATCATGAACTCCTTCTTCGAATTCAGTCAATCGTATCGTCAAATGGAAAACCCCCAAAATCGTATTACCGCTAAAGAAATGGGCCTCAAGTGGAAATCAATGAGTGCAAGGGACCGTAAACCCTACGTCGATAGTTCAATTCGCAAGAAAGAGCAATTCAAGCTAGAGAATCCAAATGTAAAAAGAAAGCGTAAACGTTCAGTTAGGAGAAAGAATTTAAAATTCGTGAATAATTCTCCGGAAACAATACAATTGGAACAAACTAAAAAAGAATGCATGAAACTATAGGGGTTTTTTTTTTATTTCTTTATCATAAGGGTGTCCTTTTTATTTGTACAATACTTCATATAACCTTCTCGTGGTTATAACGTAGTTACGAAATATTGCAATATTTTATTATTCTACATTCGATCGCAACATTCGTTAGATTCGGTTAAATTATTCTCGAAGGTGGGTGGAAATTTTCGGATTTTAGATTCCTATATTAAATATATACATGTATATACAGTATATACGAAATACAAAGTCATAGAATATCATGATATGTACACAAACACATCGTAGGTGCCGTATTATAAATAAATAAGAAAAATTATGCCAATCATATTGTTTTCTCGAACTTTTATATACTGTAGTAATGATGTGATAAAATTAAAAATAAAAAATAAAAATAAGATAAATAAATAAAATAAAATTATTATCTAGTATGACAACCATTAAAAAATTACGCTAATGTCATGTGACTTACAGACAGAAAGAATCTTGTCGATCATATATTGCAGAGAATGTCCTTCGTTACACTCCGGACAATATTGTAAATTGTGATAAGGAGCTACATCGTACTGTTTGTTTACTGTTGATCCTAGCCATTGATGAGCAATAGAATGTTGCGATGAACAGCGTTTATATTTATTCAATTGATAAAACAGTACATAATCGGATGACCTATAGCGACTTTATCCGCAATATAACATGATTATCAACGTTTTTTTTTTTTTTTATACAAAAATTTACTAAATTCAAAAAGAATCGTCAGTTTATCTATTAAATGTTTTTAGAAAATTGCCACGGGAATCGTTTCAAAATAAGGACTTGCAAAAAAGTTCGGTACAAAAACACATAATCTGTCGTTAGGAGAAAGTGCGACTAGTATTTAATGCGTACTGTAATTAGAGCTTACTATTCGAATTATTTTCAAATAACAATAATTCAATGACTTACTTTATACGTACCATTGGTTACATTATTATATATTTTCTTATATATGTTGTAACGAGCAAACGGCAAGTCTGTCGCTAATGCTAACAGAAATTCGCGTAACAATTACTGGTGATTAAAAAGGACAGAATATAAGCCATGAGGTGATATTGTTTGACTGAAATCTTCTTCTCTCTCTCTCATTCTCATTCTCATTAACTTTTTAACATCTCTCTATTTTTTATCCATTTTCTGTAACTACACATAATAAATTAAAGTATGATTCCATAATAAATACCACAATGTCATTGTCGCCACTCACAATCATTAAGGTGACCAGTCATGTCAAGATCAGATCTTGTACTATTCAATATAGATTGATTACATGATTAACTACAGTATTGTTAATTATTTAAAATGTATAAGGTCTCTCATACTCATATTCCCTTCTTACATTATCTCGAGGTTCATCTCATAACACCTGATATACGGTACTGGTCATAAATAACCTTTTTTAAAAAATTAAAATCCAATCAAATTGTTTTAAAAAAGTTAGAATAAATAAATGATTTTATCTACTCAAAAAAAAATTTTTTATATTTAATACCTGTTTACAAGATTAAACATTATTAATTCTAATAACGAATCTGTTATTGATCTATGATTAATATTTATCATATATTAGTATTTAATAAATTAAGTCTTTTTTTTTATTCTTAAATGTTTTGATTCTATCAAATTTATATCTTATTATATTAAATTATCAAATTCAATAAACCTATTATACAATTGGTAATAAAATAAGTTTATCAATTAAATATTATGCAAATTAGAAATATATACTGTATATCTCATTAACTATTTAATTGCTTAATTAATTATAACACTTGTAATTTTTTAAATCAATCATTGCATTGCTCAATCCTTTAAAAAACTTTTTAAACTTTTTTTTTCAGATTTAATATATAATTTGATATATAATATTATTTTTTTATATTATATTTCTATCTTATATTTTATATTATATTTCTATCTTATATTTTATATTATATTTCTATCTTATATTTTATATTATATCTTATACTATATCTTATTTTATTGATATTAATTTTTATATTGACAGTATATAATATATATTTTAATTTAATTGAAAACCAACAATATTTGTATCCATGAATTAATAATACAATGTATAGTACTTACAAATAATTGAATATATGTTTTTAGTTTCATATCTATAAAAAACAAAATATATAAATTTACTGGTTTTTTTTTATATAAATTATCAAAATATTTAAATTTTGATTAAATTAAGTTAGGTTATATGAAACTAAGACCTTTTATTTTTTTAACAACAGTAAACTAAAATTAGATTAAATTAAAAAATATTATATACAATAAAATTTTAATTTAACTCTTAAAAAACTTATAACTTCAATAATATAATAGATTTAGATATATAATAAATATCTTAACTTGAAATTATTTTAAATCCAATAAAAAAATTTTTAAAACAACAAATAATAATAATAAATATAATGTTTTTTTATAGTAAAATAGCATTTGATATAGGTTTTTATTAAATTAATCTCAATTTTTAATATATTAAACATTCTTTATTATATCATAATAATTAAATATAGTTTATCTACTTTAATACCCAGTAATATGCTAATTACTTTTAAAGTAAATTATATATTTTCAGAAAAATCTATTTAGAGAGTAAAATTTCTACTGCCAATTTAAATTATCTAATCTATTGGTCCAATTTTTATATAAGGGCAATAAAGATATTATTAATTATCTATATAAATTACTTATTATATTATATATTTTCATTTATTTGTTTATTATTATACACCAATATAATTGTTTAACTAGAAGTTATTTCTATAACTATGTTTATATTTATCTAAGATATTACTATTTAAGACAATACTATAATATATTAATTGCTAGTAATATCCAACTCTTATTAGAATTACTTCAAATAATAACATTTGCTATAACTTGTTCCTAATTTACATTAGATATAGAGACTAATTTACTGAACAAAAAAATTACTTTGTTTATTCAGTAGTATATATGTTTACTGTTAATTAATTAAGCTTTATTTCTATTAGGAAAAATTAAAGAGTTTTTAAAAAGAAACATTAATGTAATATTTTTTATGACAAATAAAGTTACATAATCCCTACTTGCTCTATCAGATATAAATTTCTTTAACATCATCTATAACTGGACTAATTATTTAATTTCTTATCTATTTAAATGATACTCAAGAATATTCAAGATACTTATAATTGGTGCTTATTACCTAAACACTGACTTACATAACTTTGCAAAAAACAGGTCTTATTGCCAGATGCCTTATTTTTATTTTGTTTTTAATTTTACTTTATTATTATTATTATTATTAAAAGCTAAACATATTACATGTAAACATTTTTATTAACTTAATATTGAAATTACAATATTACATAAGAAGTCTAATTAACTATTCTAGCTAATCTAACCTTAGCATCTGCCTTTTCTAACCTGTTTATACCAACTTATATCTTATTAATGAATTTGTATACCAGATATAATTAATTCAAAGGGTATATTCTGTTAACTATTATTAAAGTTCTTATTATATTCTTCTATCTGGCTTATACTTTTTGTGATACTCTAGTCTTACATCTTTATACTTCCTAATAAATGCTTCAAGAATTATTCCTATAGTTGGCACATGTTACCAAACCTGAAGATCATTAGATCTAGTGAGATATAACTCTTCAATTTTCCAGTGAACACTTTATAGAACTCTTAATTAATATTGACTATCAAATCTAGAGATACAAATATCAAGTAGGACACAACTCCTGTAAAGTATACTTCATATAGTCATATTCATATAGTCATATTCATATAGTAATCTTCTTTAAAGTTGCCTAATTAGATTAGTAGTTTTTTTTTATAGTCTTATGGACTATAGGAAAAGAAAACAACTTATGTGGAAACTGAAAATATATTAAGCATAATCTTGATTATTGTAATACCAACCAGATGATTAATATACTTATGACATCTTTCTAAAGATCACAATTTTAACATTTATTGAATCAGCATATGAAACAGTTTCATATAAGAAACAGCATATAACAAGTTATAATACTAGCTACTATATATGTTTTATTCAATTACCTTTACTTGGGATTGCACTGGTATCTTGTGATTTGATCTGTAAAGTATTAACCACTACACTATAGATCCATAGGTCAATTGTTTGCTTTTATTTCTTATTATATATAAATTAATTTTTTATAAAAAACAACACTTAACAAGTTATAGTATTAGATACTATATTAATTTAATTTAACTGTCTTTACTTGAAATTGAACTAATATTCTATGATCTGACTTGTAAAGTACCAATCACTGTACCATCGATTCATGAATTATTATTATTATTTTATATTTTATATTAAATTTAATATATTCAATAATTAACTTATTAAAAAAATTTTTTTAATTAATTTATAAGTTTATAGTATAGTAATAATATCTTATAAATTATCAAATAAAAATCTAAAATTTAAATCTATTTAATTATAAAATATATATTATAAATTTTTAATTAAGCTATATAAAAATAAATTTTTCATTTTTTTAATAATTGCAAGATTGTAACAAATTATAAAAAAAAATTGCATAAAAAAAGTATCTAGTTTAATTTCAATTAAACTTAACAATATGTTATATAAATATTAATATAATAAATTTAATATATAAATTGAACTGTATTTTTTTTTCTGTAAATAAATACTATTTATTTATTTATTTATATTGTTAAATTTAAAAGTTTAATTTTTTTGAAATAGAAAATTCTATACTAAATATATATTAAACATGCCAATTCATTAATAATATACCTATAGTATTTTTATCCACTAACAATGTTACTTAAAATCTGGAAGAAGGTTCTATTTGTCTAATCAAATAAAGTAGTATTATATTACATGATTTGATTATCTTTAAGTTATGAACACAATGAATTGAGAAACATTTATAGTAATTAGCCATTTATTAATTATTTGATTTTTTTCAATACTAAAATTAACAATAAATAAAGTTTTCAAATTATAAAAATATTTTAAGCAGTAGAAATAACATAATTATGTTTTCTACTTATATATAACGATAGGATCATGTGTGTGTCTTCACTAAAAAAGAATATGACGACATATTTGCATTCGTGTCGTCACCCTGCATACACTCGCTTTTAAATATACGCTCTCAAATACACCCAATGGACGAATATCAAGGTTGTAGAGTATACAGTATATTGGTTTTCAATATGATCAAGTCTACTAACGGCCGGTACTACTATTTCAGGAATTACAGATGCTATTATCGCAGTACAAGAGAATGGTTTGTCTTAGTAAACATTAGTTATCCAGTCTAATCGAGTTTACTAACGACTAGTACTGTCATTTCAGTTAATGTTGAAGGCGCTGTTCCGAAGTTGAGTCCAGAAGAATTAGCGATATATAATATTTTAAGTGATGCAAAAAAAGTTACTTTTTTGAAGGTACTTGGTCAAAGAAAGGAAGAAGGAAAGAAAGAAGGAAGGAAGGAAGGAAAGGAAGAAGGAAAGAAAGAAGGAAAGAAAGAAGGAAAGGAAGAAGGAAAGAAAGAAGGAAAGAAAGAAGAGCGTAAAAGAGGAGTATGTTATAAACTATATATTTGTCATCGAGACTTTACTAGACTTTACTAAAATTATAATAGTTTTTTCGACGTTTTTTTTCACCTTTAAAATAGAGATACTACGTAAATTTAATAATTGCTCTACTTATAATACTTGTCGCTATAACCTTCAATATACTTGATGCGACACAAAAAAATAAAAATAATGATATTATTAAATATTTTAATATATATTTACATTCTATCGTCTTTGGAATTCAACTTTTCTGGGCAGGAGTAGAAGCAATACGAGAGAGATCTGATA